AAAAAAAAACTGCATATAGTTGGTTATTCTAAAGTATTCTCCAATTATATTGTTCTCCTTATTAAAGGTCTGTTTGTTGTTTGGCTGAAAGTTGAGACATGGGGGTGAGTTCTATTCTGTTTTCAAAGGATGACTAAGGGTCATAGTATTCAGGGTACCACTATTATCTGTCAGATTAGTAAACCTATTAGTAAAAATTATATTTTTAAATTTTTTCTGTGATTCCTTTTAGAGTGAACAGCAATGGTAGCTGGATACCATCTCATTCTTCTGGCTTCAGGGCTGCAGAGGTTGAAGTACATCTGGTCCTTTGGACTAAGTGTTTCGGCACATCCTTGGTTTTCTTCCTTCTTTGCTACTTGTATTTTCAGGTGTTTGATCACCTCATATCCTACAGCTTTTAACCTGCTGTGTCCCCAGAATTTGGCCTGCTGCCTCCCCACAGGCACCAAGAGAATAGGCATTTGAGTGGGCAAGAATGCTGAGAATTTATATTACCTTAGAACAGAATGGCTATCTAATCTCACCTTCTCTGTTTTATTGAAAAAAAAAAAACCAAGACCTAAAAAGGTATGTGACTTCTTAGTGCCAGAACAAAAGCTCTCATTCTGAGACAGCTCCATTCCCATGAGATACTGTATCTAGAGCTGACCTGTGGGTGTCCTCTGAGAGATTCTTAAGAGCCATCCTAACCACCTCTTTCCCTATTAAAACATGTCATGAACTCTGACAGAACACACTTTGGAACCAGACCTCCTGAGTTTAAATCAGGGCTTCAGAAACTTGCTGGTTTGAGGTCTTGGATTAATTGCTTAATCTCTCCCCCTTTCTCTCTGCTGAAATTTCATCATGTGCAAAACAGAAATGAGAACAGTTACTTTCTCATGAAATAGTCTAAAATGAAGAAAAAGTATATGAAAAATGCTTAAAGCAGTGCATAGTACAGGATTGTTCTTTTTAACTGCTATAGAGTCCACCAGCAACACATGAGGAGTCCCTGCATACAGAACAATAGGCAGGCATCAAATCCAGGTTTCCAACAAGGAAGAGAAGAATTATATCACTGAATCACCACTGCCTGATTTGAACCCATAGTGTATATTTACGTTGTTGTTGTTGTTGTTGTTGTTGTTGTTGTTGTTGTTATGTGCCATTGAGTCACCCGCAATTCATAGAGACCCTATGTACAACAGCTTTGAATCCCGCTGTACACTGTGACTGTCTTATTGTCTCTGGCAAACCTACCCCACCCCCCAGTCACTGAATCAAATCATCTCCTCGAGGGTCTTCCTCTCTTGTGCTGTCCCTCCACCCTCTCAAGCATGACGTCCCTTTCCAATGACTGGTCCCACTTTGCAACACATCCAAATTATGTCAGACAAAGCTTCAAAATTCTTGCCTCTAAGGAGCAGCGTGGTCTCACCCTCTCTAGGATGAACTTGTTTATTTTCCTAGTAGTCCGTGGTATATTCAATACTCTTCTCCAAAACCACAGCTCAAAGACATCAATTCTCCTTCTATCATATCTAGTCATTGTCCAGCTTTCTGATGCATAGCAAGTAATTGCAAAGACTATAACCTGGATCTTTGGAAGCAGGAGTGACATCCACTTCCTAAACAACATGCCTCCAGAAACTCTATGAACTTTGATAAATGTCGATAGTTGTAGAGGAGCTTCAGGCCTTTTGTTCATAGGGTCGCTATGAGTCATGTTCAACTATAAGGCAATAAACAACAACATGGCCTGGATCAGGCACACCTTTGTCTCCAGAGTGACACTGTTGTTCTTCAGTACTCTGCAGGTGTCTGACAGCAGACTTTCCCAATGCAATTCATCTTTTCATTTCCTGGCTGCTGGAACTAAGAGTGTTGACTGTGGAGCCAAGCAAACTAAAACTGTTAACAATCTCAATCTCTTCACCATCATGATGCTGCCAATTGGCCCAGTGGTGAGAATCTTTGTCTTTTTGATGTTGAGCTTCAATCCATATTGAAGGCTGAAGTCCTTGACCTTCTGCAGCAAGCGCTTCAGGTTCTCCTCAGTTTCAGCAAGCAGGGTTGTGTCATCGGCATAATGCAGATTGTTAATAAGTCTTCCTCCAATCTTAATGACACATTTCTTCTTATAGAGCCCAGCCTCCCTGATAAACTGTTTTGCATATAGGTTGAAAAGGTATATCTATGTAGGTCATCTAAAAGGACAACACTGCCAGGTCACAATGTTCTAGCAGCAGCTTGCATCAGATTAGCTATTTGAAATATATTCTTGAATAAGATAACCTAGGTTCTTTAAAATTTAGAACACAATACATGTGGTTAGCAGAAACTGCATTGCTGCCTCCCTACATTTTGAACTGGACAAATATAGATGCCATCATAAAAACTTGGTCCTTTCCTCTTACCTTTCAAATTACACAAACAACTGTTTCAAGAAGTGTCTTCACTGGGTTGAGTATCTCCTTTGTTTGCTCTCAGATGTGGAAGCTCTGCCCCACCATCATGCATGTACCCATGCTTACAGCTTGACTGCCTTTCTGTGCTTTATTCTCACACCAAGCATTACCAACCCCTTTACCTAGTACAGATGAGAATGAATGCTTTTAGTTTTGTTGTCACTTGTACAGTATTTGCACCTTTTAAATTATTTCCAATAAAACTTACTCTGAGTTCATTTTTACACAACATATAAAGACATGTGAGACCTATCTCTAGTGTAACTGTGGAATCAGCATCAAGCTGAAATAAAATGCTTTGACATTTAAAAAAAAAAAAAAAGAAGTTTCTTCAAAAGCCCCACTAGGGAGAGGCCCAGGAGCGCGCGCCCCAAGCATCGGATTGGAGGCTTCGGGCGCGCGCGCACTTCCGGCGTGCCGAGCGAGGCGGGGCGAGGGGCGGGGCCTGCGCGGAGGCGGTGCGGAGGAGGTGCGGCCGCCCTCAGACTGGTTCTGCCTGGCTGCAGGACGGATGCTTCCTGCACTTGGCTGCTTGGAGCACACGGCGGCGGTGGCAGCAGCTGGCAGCATGAGCGTGTGAGATACCATCGAGGGCAGCCGGGACACGAGCAGCAGCAGCCGCGACACGAGCAGCAGCAGCCGCAGCAGCGGAGAGCGCAAACGTAGCCTCCTCAGCCCGGGACGCGCAGTGGATGAGGGTGAGCACACGGGTGCTGGGTAGCCACCGACCACCCCGTTTCCATAAACACTTGTTTAGGACTCTTTCGCCCCCCTGAGGCCCGCCTGTCTCGCCGTTCCCCGGCACCCTTACTATGGAGGCCTTGCCCGACTCCGGGCCCCAAGCCTCGGCCTTGGCGCCGCTGCGCGCCCCAGAGTTGGCGTGGCTCCGCGTAGAGCAGGAAAAGGTGGTCACAAACTGCCAAGAGAAAATCCAGCATTGGGAGAAGGTAGATAATGACTATAATGCCCTTCAAGAAAGACTCAAGACATTGCCTGATAAGTTGTCTTATAATATCATGGTGCCATTTGGTCCCTTTGCGTTCATGCCAGGAAAACTTGTGCACACTAATGAAGTCACTGTTCTACTTGGGGACAACTGGTTTGCAAAGTGCTCAGCAAAGCAGGCTGTAGGATTGGTCGAGCACAGGAAAGAACATGTGAGAAAAACTATAGATGACTTAAAGAAAGTGATGAAAAATTTTGAGTCCAGAGTTCAATTCACAGAAGATTTGCAGAAAATGAGTGATGCTGCAGGTGATATTGTTGACATAAGAGAAGAAGTTAAAAGTGACTCTGAATTTAAAGTAAAACATCGAATTGCTCATAAACCTCACTCCAAACCAAAACCAGATCTTTTTGAAGCAGATTTTGC